GCGCGCGGGCCGGGTGCGCGCCACGCTCTTCCTGCCGCCAGGTGAGAGACCCGCTTCCCTGACTGTTTCGGCCCGCCTTTCTCGTGTCTCCTGGCTCTATCTAGAGGAAGGAGGTAGCTCCCAACATTCCGGAGGTCCCTGGGGCCTTAAAGTGTCAAGGACACAGGAATGAACTGTCCGCCTGGCTGGACAGATGGTTCTGCTGCTCCAAAACTGAGAGGCCAGTTAAAAAACGTCCTAAAGAAGGGAAAAGAGGGTTGTAATTAAAAAAAAGAAAGAAAGAAAATTTATGAGTAGTTTTAAGTTTTTAATTTTTTTTGATGTTTCTCAATTTTGCAACTTTGCTTCTAACTCCTACGTATATAAGGTTTAAGAAAATCAGCATGGAGGAAGGCCTCTTGCTATCAACTGGAAATCTGAAATTATTGGATAATTTTACCATTACATAAAAAGCAATTGGACAATGAGAAAAGAAAAAGATGCTTATCCTCATTATGAATCAGGGGAATGCAATATAAAACTGCACAATACATTTCACACTCTGAAAATTTAGAAGTCTAACATTACCAGTTGGTGGCAAATATATGGAGGAAAAGGAACTTGCATACACTGCTAAAGGAATATAGTTAATTCATGTCCTCCTGGAAACAATTTGTATTTACTTAGAAACTTGACTATGTCATTCTACTCCTGGTACGTGTGCACCAAGAAGTATTGTTTGTAAGAGCAAAAACAATTGGAAACAGCCCAAATGTCCAAAACAACAGAACTGAAGAATAAATGGAGGTATTTTTACAGCAGCAAAAGCGATTGAACTGCAGCTACAAGAATCACCATGGATGATTCTCAAATAGTGTTGAGTGAAGCAAGTTCCAGAAGAACACATTCAATATCAATCCATTTAGATAAGATTCAAAAAATAGGCAAAATAAGCAAAATACTGTTTAAGGCACACATAGAGTGGCAATCCTGTAAAGAAAATCAGGAGGATGATAAAATCCAGGAGAGTGGACAGGGAGGGAAGGGCACAGGGACTCAGGGGGCTTTGATGGTGAGTACTGAGTTATTTCTTAAAGTGTTGAGTACAAAGTCTTTGCTTTCATATTCTTTAACTTTTGCTTGTGAAATACAAACTTTTGATGTAAATGGTGAAAATATCCAACAAATGGAATCATACCCAGTATGTAGCCTTTTGAGTCTAGCACAATGCATGTGAGATTCATTCGTGTTGCTCAAAGTATCAGTAGTTCCTTCTTGCTTCTCAGTAGGACCCCTTATATGGAAGTGCTACAGTTTGTTGATTCATTCACCTGCTGAAGGACATTTGGGTTTCAAGTCTTTGGAGATGATGAATAAAGTCACTACCAACACTTGCATACAAGTTTTTGTGTGAACACAACTTTTCATTTTTCTTGGGTAAATACCTAGGAGTGAGATTGCTGGGGCAAATGGTTAAGTGTCTGTTTTACTTTATAAGAAATTGCCCAACTAGTTTCCAAAGTGGCTGTATCATTTGGCATTCCCACCAGCAATGTATGAGGGTTCCAGTTGCTCCACATCCTCACTGGCATTTGGCATTGTCAATTTGGGGAGGGGGCAATGATTTTACTGCTTTCGTTGTCTCTTTGTAAATTATTTTTAATCACAAAAGTAATACATGCTCTTTATAAATCTGTGGGGCTTTGAGGCTCTGAGTGTAGAGGGGAATGTGGATTTAGCCTATGCCACTGTCTGCATCTTTGAAGACCAGAGGTCTGTCACCATTTCTGATTGTCAATAGAAAACTTTGACATCACCAAGTAGACAAAAGATGGCTTTTGAAACCACTACCAAGAATTTCAGGAAAAGTTCATTTTTGTGTTTTGTCTTTTCCAAAGGACCCGGGCCCTTTCCTGGGATTGTAGACATTTCTGGAGCTGGAGGTGGCCTTCTGGAATATCGAGCTAGTCTGCTGGCTGGGAAGGGTTTTGCTGTGATGGCTCTGGCCTATTACAACTATGAAGACCTCCCCAAGGGCATGGAGACCCTCCACTTGGAGTACTTTGAAGAAGCTGTGAACTACCTGCTTAGTCACCCTCAGGTTGGAACTTCTCTAAGTTTAGCTTTGTGGTCTATGTATCAGGTCACCTCCTCAGAAATGCTCTTGGTTTTCACAGAACTTGACAAATTCATGACAGCCACTCCCTAACCCCAATGATCACTACCTTAATTAATTAATTGATTATAATTGCTGATGAATGTTCACCCTGAGATAACATCTGCTGCCCGTCTTCCTCTTTTTGTACGTGCGCTGCCTCCACAGCATGGCCACTGCCAGACGAGTGGTGTAGGTCTGCGCCCGGGAACCGAATCCGGGCCACCAAAGTGGAATGTGACGAACTTAACCACTAGGCCACCAGGGCTGGCCCCATACTACCTTTAATAGTCACTTCTCCTAGATAGTTTCTGTGCAATTATACAGTACTCTAATATATTTCCTGCTAGTAAAGATGTTCTTAGTAGGTATTACGGAATTTTAAGCTCCAGAATTTTATAGTGTCTCATAATAAGCCCAAACGTATTTCAGAAACCTGGCTTTGACACAGGAATGGAGGGAAAGGGAAAGGGAATCATTGTCTCCAGAAGACCCAGTTCAAATGTTTGTGTTAACAACTTTCTCGTGTCCCCTCTGACAGTGCAGAATTAGGTTTTAAAGGAAGAACCTGGTGGCCAAAGAACCTGGGTACTGGGAAATGTTTTGAGGGGTCTACGCTCAGGGTATCAGAGGATCAGAAGATAAACCTTGCTTATTTTCCTTTTAATCAGAGCTCATGGTGGATGGAAGCTTTGAGCTCTTAGGAAAGGTGATAGTGTGTAGTGGAGCCAGCAGCATAAGATGTAGATAGAGAAGTGTTAAATATGAGTTTTGATTTAGCCAATTTCTAGCACCATGACCTTGGGGCCTATGTTTCCCCTTTGGAAAAACTGGGATGATGATAATACATTTAATTCCTAGTACTTTCATGAGGAATATATTGTTGAAACCAATGAAGGGTATTATTGGAGAAGCCATGAGAAAAAAAAGACCGCTGTTGAGGTGTCAATGAGATGGCCATTTTTGTGTGTGTGTGTGTGTGAGGAAGATCCACCCTGAGCTAACATCCGTGCTAATCCTCCTCTTTTTGCTGAGGAAGACCGGCTCTGAGCTAACATCTATTGCCAATCCTCCTCCTTTTTTTTTCCCCCCAAAGCCCCAGTAGATAGTTATATGTCATAGTTGCACATCCTTCTAGTTCCTGTATGTGGCACGCGGCCTCAGCATGGCCGGAGAAGCGGTGCGTTGGTGCGCGCCCGGGATCTGAACCCGGGCCGCCAGTAGCGGAGTGTGCGCACTTAACCGCTAAGCCATGGGGCCAGCCCACAGATGGCCATTTTTAATACAAGATTTTGGTGACTGAGACAAGAGCAGTCCTTGTAGCATGGTGCAAACCCAGTGACCTTGGAGGGGATTGAGTAGAGAATGGAAGACAGGAATGAGAACAAGTGCAGACAAATTTTCCCATAAATTTTACTGTGAAAGACAGTAGAAAACTAGAGTAGAGTAGATGTGGGGTCAAGTGATTGTTAATTAAATGTAAGAGGTACTAGAGCCTGAAGTTCACTGATGGGAATGAGCCACTAGAGAAGAAAGTTATGAAGGAGAGAGAGAGGAAGTATTTGCAGGAGCGAAGTCCTTGAGAATGAGAATGGATGGCATCCCAAGCCAAGCAGAAGGCTGGCCTTTGATAAGAACGAGATACTTCTTTGGAACCAGGAGGGAAGGCAGGGAGCTTGAGTTCATGTGGATCTAAGTAGATTTGGCAGAGGAAAATGAGGAAGAGTTCCTACCAGATAGCTTCTGTCTTATCCATGAAGGATGAAGAGCTGAAAGTGAAGGTGAACAGTAGTTAAAGGATCTTGAGGAAGCAGGAGAAGGTGTGGAATGGTCTTTTGGAGATGTGGAGAGCAAACATAGTGAAGTGTGGCAGGATCGATGGGCAATATGGATGCTGATTTGACATTTGTGGTCATGAAATGAAAGTAAGACCTGTCAGCACAAATGTGTATTTTTTTCCCCAGCAATGTTCATTTGCACAAATGCAGGCCTAGAGAAAGTGAGCAGGTAGATTTAACCAAGGCTAGCACTCTTCCAGGCAAGTATGACCAGAGGAATATTGCAAGGGAGGGATAAAAACAATGAGGCTGAAAATCTAAGCTGGATGAGGTGGGAAGTGAGAACATAATACAGATATTGATAGTGAAAGAAGTGGTAGTCAAGGTGTCAAAGAGGTGGAAATGGGCAGTCTAGAATGGCTAAAATGACTAAACTAGAATATTTAAGAGGTGATGAGAGAGTAGAATGCTTGAAGCTGAGATTTTGGAGATGACGTACTCACTGATGATCACTCAACTTAGGTTATGACAATGGGAGTGAGTTGCGGAGGTGGGTAGAGAAAAAGATCATTGGAGGTATGGAGGTCAAGGAAGTGAGAGGCCAAAGTGTTTAGTAGATCATCCACATGGTTGCTGATGTCACCAGGAATGGTGATGGAGAAATCATCAAAAGGAAGATAGGAAAAATAAGTAAATATCTCAAGGTTGCAAACCTTAGTAAATGGTGGAGTCCAGATTCAGGCGCAGTTCCATCTGACTTCTAATTCCAGGCACTACTCCTAACACTGGACTAGTCATTGACTTATTCTTCTTTATCCTCTCTCCTCTTCTCAGGTAAAGGGTCCAGGAGTTGGGCTGCTTGGGATTTCCAAAGGGGGTGATCTCTGCCTCTCCATGGCCTCGTTCCTGAAGGGCATCACTGCCACTGTCATAATCAATGGCTCTGTGGCCAATGTTGGTGGAGCCTTACACTACAAGGGGGAGACACTGCCCCCAGTGGGTTTCAACCCAAATCGAGTCAAGGTGACCAGAGATGGCTTTGCAGATGTTTTGGATGTCCTGAACAGCCCTTTGGAAGGCCCTGACCAGAAGAGCTTCATTCCTATGGAAAGGGCTGAGAGTGCCTTCCTGTTCCTTGTAGGTCAGGATGACCACACTTGCAAGAGTGAATTCTATGCCAATGAGGCCTCTAAACGCTTACAGGCCCATGGTAAGGAGAAGCCCCAGATCATCTGTTACCCAGGGGCGGGGCACTACATTGAGCCTCCTTACTTCCCCATGTGCCCAGCTTCCCTGTTCACCTTAGTGGGCCGTCCTGTCATCTGGGGAGGGGAGCCCAGGGCTCATGCCATGGCCCAGGTGGATGCCTGGAAGCAGCTCCAGACTTTCTTCCACAAACACTTGGGTGGGGAAAAGGAGACAATCCCAGGAAAACTGTAATCTTTTATTTGATTGTGGGACATCTCTGATGCTAATTGATCCTGGGATTATCTTTCTAATAATGACTTAGAGTTTTGCTTCCATCACTGTTAAAACAAACTGACCAATGAGTTTTCAAGAATTTTATAAACTATGTATCTGTTCACTTGTTGGAGAGGAGACTGATACTGCAGAAAATACAACAGATGGAAAAAGCATTCGTTTTAGTATCTCACAACACAAGACTGACCAAGCTTTAGCTCTGAAAGGAAAAGTGAGTAACACTGATTAACAGTGCCTGGCACATTACTGGTGCTCAGTAATTATTTTTTTAATTATTTATTATTGAGTTTGCTTAATAATTAATTTAATTAGGTTAATAAATGATTACTTATTGTGCAAGAGAAGCATTATGTATTAAATGTTATCAGATTTGAGTTTCTCCTTTATGAATCTAAGTTAAAATGTTAGCTTTAAATTGATTACCACTTACCTGTAAAACTACTAAAAATTTTAAAATCAAATACATTTTTAGTTTCTTGATATCTTCTTCTTGGATGAATAAGGATTCTCCTAATGCAAATAAATTTTAAGTTATGTTCCTATTTACACATATGGAGCTTTATGATTTAGTTGTTACCAAACCTGGCAAAACATTAGGTGAATTACATGAGTGCTTTTAACTCTGATTAATGTGAAAATAAATGATGATTTAATATTTACGTCATGTGATAAAAATCATTCCACAATAAGCTCATTAAACTTTTCTTAAAGCTTAATGTATTTAAAGTAAAAAATGCTTTAGTTTATGATTATGGTGTTCTGTTTCTTCAAGTTTCTTTTTTAACAAAGCAACTTCTGACCCATTTTTTCCTGAAACTCAAAAAAAGTACAGTTCTCCTTCTATTTTGTCAGCTTTTTCTTCTATACCGCCGTGTGCTCGCCATTTAATCTTCACCAGTCTGTGAAGCAGGTCTTATCCTCATGTTCCAGATGAGAAACCCGAGTCTCAGAGAAGTTCCTCACATAGTAAATGGAGACCTGGGCTCAGTATCCCCAAATCCAGTTTCTTCTCTCTTTGTTAAGCTGCTTCCCTCATCTCTGTGGTTCTTCATTTTCTTTGGGCACAGAGCCATTTGTCCATCGATTTCTGCTTCCTCTCCTCCACCCACTAGCATGCACATTCATGTGTGTTCACATTCACACACACAAGGTTGTGTAACTTTAGGTGCACCATCAGGAATTCCCTTAAAGCCCATCCATGCTGTCGGTAGGATAACAGCCCCAACCACAGGGAAAGGAAGTGGCTCTTCTTTCCCAGGTATAAGTTTTCACTGGAATTCCTGAACTTGCAGTGCAGGGGTGGGGGTTGTTTCAGGGTACCAGATGCTAAAAATACATTTAAGAGTAGATCTGGAACTACGTTTAAGCCCTGGCCTTACATAGTTGTATGGTTTTGGAGGAGCTAACAGCCAACTCAAAAATGCCTACACCCCTTCCCTTGATTGTTAACCATGTATAAGTGATTTGCCCTTCCTCCTTTCATCTTTTTATTCTCTCTTTGCACATTGCTTGTAAAGAAGATGGTCCAAGACACTTCAAGGAATCTCACTGTTTATCAAGTTGCAGTGGTCAGGCTTCTCTAGAGATTCTGGGGACAATCATGAGAGATCAAAAGCAGAAACAGCAGAGATTTGGGGGCCTATTACTGACCAAGTAAACTTGTAGACCATGTATTTCAAGAGACACGGGATGATTTTCTCTTTAAATGCTTTTGGGTAGGAGGTGATAAGACAAGCCAGAATAGAGATATCATAGGGAGGTGTTATGGAGGGAAGAGTGAAACTACATGCGATTGAGGTGAGAATTGGAAAAGAATTCAGAGACATAGTGGCATTTGATATAAGTCTTAAAGAACTGATAGGACTTCTGCTTTCTCGATCTAAGATAATAAAAATTCCCAGGAAATTTGGAAAATAATTTGAGTATCAGTGTTTGGGTTTCCTCAAAAGCAGACTCTAAAACTAGAAAACATTGTTGAAGGAAAATAAAGAAAACCTAAAAAGTGGAAAGACATCCCATTTCGTGGCTAAGAAACTTAATATTGAGTCTTAGTTAAATAGTCTAAGTTAAGATGGCAGTAGTCCCAGTTATGGGCTGAATTGTGGTTCCCCAAAAGTCATATGTTGAAGTTCTGATCCCCAGTACTTCAGAATGTGACTGCATTTGGAGATAGGGCCTTTAAAAAGGTAATTAAGGTAAATGAGGTCACATGAGTGGGCACTATACAATATGACTGATGTCCTTATAAGAAGAGATGAGGACACAAATATGCATGAGAGAAGACCATGTGAAGACACAAGTACAAGATGGTCATTCACAAGCCAAGGAGAGAGGCCTAGAAGAGATTCTTCCCTCCTGGCCCGCAGAAGAAACAACCCTGCTGACACCTTAATCTTGAATTTCTAGCCTCTGGAACTGTGAGAAAGTAAACTACTGTTGTTTAAGCCACCCTGTCTGTGGGACTTGTTATGGCAGCCCTAAAAAACTAATATACTATGCAAATTGATCCACAGATTCAATGCCATCTCCATGAAAATTCCAGCTGGTTTCTTTGCATAAATTGATAAGCTGATCCTAAAATTCCTATGGAAATTCAAGGGACCCAGAATATATTTTGTTTGTTTTTTTTTTTTTTCAGAATCTTGGGAAAGAGTAAAGTTGGAAGACTCATAATTCCCAACTTCAAAGCTTACTGTAAAGCAACAGTAGTCAGGACAATGTGGTAGATGCATAAGGATAGATATAAAGATCAATGGAGTAGGATTGAGAGTCCAGAAATAAACTCTCATGTTTACAGTCAATTGATTTTCAACAAGGGTGCCAAGAAAATTCAATGGGAGAAAGAATGGTGTTTTCAACAAATGGTGTTGGGGCAACTAGATCTCCACATGCAAAATAATGAACTTGTAATGAAACCATACACAAAAATTGACTCAAAATGGATCAACGACCTAAATGTAAGAGCTAAAACTACAGAAGTCTTAGAAGAAAATATAGGAATAAATCTTTGTAGCCTTGGATTAGGCAGTGTTTTGACATCAAAGCAGAAGCAACACAAATAAAAATAGATGAATTGAACTCCATCAAAACTAAAAACTTTTATGCATCAAAGGATACCATTTAAAAGTGAAAACAGCTCATGGAATGGGAGAAAATATTTGCAATTCACATATCTGATAAGGGACTGGTGTTATGACAGGTTCGGTGATTCGATCGGAGCCGTAAAACAAACTTTCTACTCCAAACAAATGGACTGAAGGTATATTTTATTACATAGAGGATAGTAAAGGCGATAGTCTGCAAACAGATCCGAATAGTCAAATAATAAGAGGGAAAAAACACCAGCTCGACTGGAAAGGGAAAACATCCACATTGGCTGAGATAGGAGCAGATTCGAATAGGTCATATAATAAGAGGGAAAAACATCAGATCAATCAGAAAGGGAAACACCAGATCGACTGAAGGGAAATGACACTAATCAACCGGAAAGAGAAACACCAGGTTGACCGAAAAGAGAACACATCAGATCAATTACTTCACAATAAATCAATTACTCACAACATCCATGCCCCACTGCCAGGAGAGTCCTGTCAATCGACACGGCTGGGCAAGGATCACACGTCCTGGACAAGGCGTCCCTTCCACAGGTGGAACTCTCACCAGATCTCAGTCTTCAGCAGTTTTTATACCAGCAGTAATTTTCAGAGTAAGCAGTTACAGATTTTGCAGAGCAAGCATTTAGTGTTTCCATGCACATATGGTTATCAGTGATGTATGTGCACTGAGCCCCCTGGCTAACGTCCCAGCCCAGTAGTTGTGTATGTGCATTGTTCTCTCTGGTTATCATCCTAGCCCAGCACAGATGGCCAGTCCGTCCAGTGCTATGATGCCCCAAAAGCCTTGAAATGTTACAACTTGCAACTCTCTCCATGGGAAAAGGGCCAGTTCCCACCACGCAGAAAGCAGCTTTTACATTTCTTTCTGTGCTGGTGGCTGTAGGTCAACGGAGTGGCCAAACATGGCTGTACTCATGTCAAGACAACTGGTATCTAGAATATAAAAAGAACTCTTTGAACTCGATAATAAAAAGACAGCCCAACTAAAAAAAAAATAGGCCAAAGATCTGAATAGACATGTCTCCAAAGAAGATGTACAATGGCCAATTAGCACACGAACAGATGCTCAGCCTCATTAGCGATCAAGGAAATGCAAATCAAAACTACAAGAGACTACTACCCACTAAGATGTCTATAGTCAAAAAGACAGCTAATAACAAGTGTTGGCAAGGATGTGGAGAAACTGGAACACTCATATACTGCTGGTGGCATTGTAAAATGGTGCAGCCACTTTGGAAAACAGTTCAGCAGCTCCTCAAAAGATGACACATAGAGATACCATGTGACCCATCAATTTTACTCCTGACTATATACAGAAAAATGAGAACATAGGTCTGCAAGTTGCAGAATAGTAGATAGAGCATGTTCATGCTCCCATATACTCATATGCTATAACCATACAGAAAAAAAAATCTAGATGGATGCACTCATCTTTGGAGGAACTCGAGAAGATATTCTATCATTCACATTTTAAACTTTTCAGTATTGCTTACATCTGTTTGGAAAAATATGTATTTTTTCCTAAAAAAGAACTATGATTTTTCTTTCACAGAGCAATTTAAAAAGCAACATGCAAACCTATGGCAATTATCTGGAGACCATGAGAAGCAAAACTTGGATTGGCTCAATGTCTGGCTATTATGAAATCAAATGTTACATTTTTCTTCACAATATTCTTCTAAGACTTTCACATACACTATCACATTTGATCCCCATATAGGAGACTTTTATCATGTCACATACAAGAACTCTGAGACCCAGAGAGGTAGTAAACTTGCTTAAGACTAAAGACTAGACAGTGCTGAAGCCAGAGCTAGAACTCTGATTATATTTGACCACAATGCTGCTGCTCACCTTTGAGTTCCACATTAGCAGTTAGTCAAGGCCT